TTAAAAGTCAATGTAATGGTGTCAAATGAATTTGGACAAGTTCTGTACATCATGAACCAACTCAAAAATCAGGCCAAGGTTCATTTTCATACTAAGTCTAGGTTTTGGCTAGAATTTAGGAAAAAATGGTTAATGAACAAACCCTAATGCCAATTCTTTCTCAAGCATGGATTAAGGTCAAATAGCAAGCCTATTCAATTGCAGGATGATCATTGAGTCAAACCCTACCAAGAACATAGCACAAAGCACGCTGAAAAGGCATTTGGACATTTGAAATTTTGGACATAAAAAGCAAAACTGAAATCATAGCTAGGGGTGGTTTCAAGCCTCAATTTTTATACCATTAGCATCTTGGACCATCATTGAACGCATCTCAATCCATAACCTCAATCAAAAGCTCCTTGAACTAGCCTCTGCAAGTGAAACTGTACAGAGAAATTTTGAATTCGTATTCTTGATTTTACGCATCCTCTTGCATTTTTAATTATACATTCATGTTCCTCACAAGGTTTCCAAACTGACCAATGCATTTAATTTCATTTTTGTGCCATAAATATGAATTTGCCATTTTCGAATTCTAGGGTTCCAATGTTCTCAAATTGGGGATTTTGAGTATAGGAAAAATCAGAACTTCAGAGCAACACCATCACACTCAGCATCTTGAGACGAAGAAAATGAGATGCTCGCGCCTAATTTATATTAGGATACGAGCTATTCGCTATTTTCCTGTAGCTGCCCTAACCCCACGTTTCAAAACCGTTGCTTTATGTATTTGTATTACAGGACACGCGAAGAAGAAGAAGATGTGTCAGCTGGTGATTGGTTCGTTCAAAATTCGCGCGCGTTTAACCAAGCATTAACCATTTTCCTTTATATATTTTATTGATTATAATATGTTAAATGAAAACAACTAGCTCAGCTGGCAGGGACGCGCACTAGTGACCACAATGACCTGGGTTCAAGTCCCAGGTCTTGCAATTTCTCAATGTTATTTTTCCTTTCCAGGTTCTATGCCACGCTCATATTAAGGCTCACCATACACTTCAGCACCAGCCCATCCACGTGTCCCAGAGCACTCACACCAAAGGCAAGGATTGGGGAACATGCTACGCTTCAGTCAAAGGCACCATATTGGATCAAAAAAAGTCAACAAATGGCCAGTAAATGGGCCAGGCCTCTCAAAATTGCACCTCCAAATTCAAATCCACACCTCCTGGTTCTATCTTCTTTTTCTTTTTTAATTTTCTTCATATTCTATTATTTATTTTTTCTTACTTTCTGACTTAATTAATTTTAACCAAAAAATATAAAAACATTAAAAATACAGAAAAGACAAAAAAAAAATATAATTAATTTTGGATTCTTTTTGTAATAAATTAAAATGTAATTCAATTAGTTTAATTAGGTTTTAATTTTAATTTTAATTCTTTTTTCATAATAAAAATCCCAAAAAAATGTAGGATTAGGTTCATTTAATTTTCAATTTCCTTTTTTTTTAATTCTTTAACCTTTTTCTCACAATGTTATTATTTATTATTTATTTTCTATAAATCAAAATTGTACATAATTAGTTTAGAATTTAATTAGGTTAGAAAATTAAATCTTTTTCATAATAAACTTAAAAAATGATAGAACTAGGATTTTAATTTTAATTAACTTTTCTCTTTTTTCTTTTAAACCTAAAAAACACAAAAATATTATTTTTAATTTTTTAATTTCCTTGATTATTTTAATTATCTGTTAAAGGGTCCAACGCCCTAATTTTGTTTAGTCTTTATTTCGCGCATTTGTTTTATATTGTGTAAATACCTCTGTATATGCCCCAAAGCCATGTAATTAAAAACTCTCGGACTTTTTATTTATTCGCTTTATTTTATTTTCAGTCAAATCGGGTTCGGTTTTTTTGGCGATGTGGACCCGCGCCAGTTGTAATAGTTAGATTTATTTTCTCGCAAATATAACTGTTAATAAATATGCATGAAAGAATGAATGCCCGAAAAATAAAATTGAATCGTTAGATCACCAATGCATGACAAGACAAATAATGAACTGAAAATGACACACAATTCGCACACACCACCCCTAGGGTACGCCTCACTGTTGCCTTTCGAAAGGTGGTCGTCGAGTAGAAAACGTCTTAGTAAGTCCTCATGGTCCGGGAACCTGGCATGAGGGTAGCTTCTAAGGTGTTTTCCCATTGCTCCGGTGACCACCACGTCCCTAAAACTCGAATTGACCCGAATACCTCCAACGGTGGTGCTACCTACCTCTCAATGGTGGGATGGCACTACTTTAAAGGACTCTTACACAGACGAATTCCTTAGGGTAGGTAGGTTCTCGTAGGTACTTGCTCTCTTCAAAACAAAACTCAAACTCTTTTCACACCAACACACTTTCAAAAAAAACTTTCAAACAAACTTTTCAAACACTCTGACGTACGAGTCGAACTGAAACTTTTCAAAGAATACTTTTGAAACCCACATTGAAAAGCAAGCAAACAATTTTGAAAACACATTGAGCAAGTACCTAAGAGCCCATGGATAACCATGGATAGAAAGGGTGCTAACACCTTCCCTTTCTATAACCTACCTCCCGAACCGAGAGCAATCTCTTTAAGGAATTTTTCTGTGCTTTTGTCCTTTCCTATTGGAGAAAATAAAAGACGGTGGCGACTCTTGCTTCCGCGACATTTCGCGAACCAGCTTTAAAACAGTCAGTTCCAGATCCACCGATCACAGGGAGGCTAAAGGCTTGAGCAGTAGCCCCTCCGGTCACATCAGCAGTCCCCTCCGCTGGGCGACTTCTTTTCCTACCCAAGGCAGCAACATGCTGGTCGGACGCGTGGGTCCCCGATGAGCCGCTAGATCCTTCCTTGGGCGGCTCAGAAACCGACCCCATGCGTGTAAGCTGACGCGAATTCACCAGCCTCTTGTGACTTTTCTTATCCTGGGTCAGCTTCAACAACCTCTCGCGACTTTCCGCCATGTTACATGCAAAACAAAAATGTATCCTCGGGTCAGCCTCGGGAAAACAAAACAAATAAGCAAGTAGAAATATAAGAGCCAAGCAAGTAAGGACCTAAAAGTTACATGGCATGTCCATAAGACCGACACTCGACCAACGCCTTGGTATTCATCGGGAGCGCCTCGAATGTTGGCTCGCCGTCTTCATCAAGGATGTCGTTCCCTTCCCTCGTGACCCACCAGACAGGGAAGAAACTCTCGATAAATCGATTGAGGACGCCGTATGGCTCTTCATCATCGGCGCTCATACCACTGGCAGAAGTGTGGTAATGGCTGGGACCATGGTCATAATGGGCCGAGCACCAGTGGATGGGAAACTTTGATATTCTCCCGATATCCAGGTTACCCTTGGCGTCGTAGCACGGTTCTGCATCCTCGTCAGCGACGGAGGCCGGGTCAAACAGGGCATCCAAGGCTGTTTGGGTGGAGGGTTGCAAGATATACCACCTGTCCTTAAAGTCGTGGACAAAATCCATATACATCCTGAACAGCCTCTTCGACTGTTTCAGGGATACCCAACTATGTTTCCCTCCACGGGACTGCCTTTACAGATGAAAAACCCTGAAGAACAATGGAATGGTCGCCCCGATCCTCAGGAACCGGCAAGTGAGCTCGAATGCCCGGATGAAGCAACGACGTTTGGATGAAGCTGAAAGGGTGCCAAGTTCAAGTGATTGAACACCCCAATTTGGAAGTCGGAGTCCCAAGTCTTTGAATACGACCCCGTACATAGGGAAAGTGATTGTATCTGATCAGAATGGACTGTCACTGCTAGCTCGAGCAGAAGTTGAGAGTGAGGTGGGTGGGTGGGGGGTGGGGGTACCTGTAAGACACTCTGATGCCAAAGTAAGTTCCGGAATAAGCGAGCAAGTATGTGAGTAAGAAATGTTTAATACCTGACCCTCTCGCAAGAGAGGATATTTATAGCCTCCAGTGCTGGGTCAAGGTCTCCTCATTGGACTGGTCAAGCAGACCCAACATGGAGACTGCCAGGTCCTACGTGAGTAGTGGGGACCCGCACGTGATCTCCTACCTGGATGACTTCCTCCGTAAGACCATGAGGATATGTAAGCGATTTTTTCGGGGCCACGAAGACTCCGTGATATTCGGAGGCGTTGATAACCAGTCCTACGAGGAGTATGCTCGTGAGGTGCTTCTGCTCGTCGAGGATGCCCTTATTGATCGTGAGGTCGTGTGATATGATCATTGTTGGTCGAGGAGAGGATTGGAGCGTGACCTCGAGGTCCTCCTGCCCAATGGTAATCTTCCTAAGGGTAACTGAGTTCCTCCCCGTGTGGTGAGCCGTGTCTCCTCGACGGGGCGTAGTTTCCGACCGACGTTATCGAGGGCAGTATCGGCCAGCAAGGTTTGGACGACATAATTGGATTGGGCCTCAAATGCAGTTGGACCATGTTGGGCCTGTTTGACCAGCCCAATGAGGAGACCTTGGTCCAGCGCTGAGACTATAAATACCCTCTCTTGCGAGAGGGTCAGGTTGCACATTTCTTACTCACATACTTGCTCGCTCATTCCAAAACTTACTTTGGCATCAGAGCGTCTTGCAGGTACCCCCACCTCACTTTCAACTTCTGCTCGAACTAGCTGTGACAGTCTATTCTAACTTAACCTTAATTTGTTAAAAGAAAAACTTAACCTTAATTTATTGGATCAAATGAGTTATTTTATTAAACCACGTATATAAAGTTAATGACTAAAAATAATAGTTTCGAATTTATAAAGAATAAAACTATACAAAACAACTTAGAGTCCTTAAATTAAATATAATAAAAATAGTTAGAAAGTAAAACTGGAAAATACGATAAAAGGTAAAACCCCTTAAAAAAAAAGTGTAAATTAATCTGAAATAAAATATAAAATAATTTCACATTTCATTGAATAACTTGTTCAATATCTTTCTTCGTCTCTACAATTCATAGATTCCAAATTCTCAATCTGCGTTCCCAAAACCTTCACAAAATGGACAACACCGCTTTCAAAAATCCCAACTTTTCCGACGAAGAAGATGAAGAAGTTCCTGATTCCTTTTCTTGTTGCGTTTGTTTGTAAGTTTTCTATCATCATCATGTTTTAATTTTGAGATAAAACCTAGCTTCAATTTTGTTCTCAAATTCTTATTCAAAATTCACAAGGATCGTCGGTGATAGATATATACCTTTAATTTTTATTTAAAAAATTGATATTTATTCATGAATTAATTTAAGTTGATTAGAACAATTCGATTTGTTTATGGATCTGAAGCTGTTATTCTTGCATCTATAATGTAAATGTTTATATCTTGAATTTCAATTGATTGTAAAATTCAGAATGTGCCTCTTTTTTGCTGCTTGATATGGATTGCTCATGCATGAATTTTGAATTTTATTCTCAGTATATTTGATTCTGCGGTGAAAAAAATTGATTTTGAGTGAATTGATTCTGTAAAATTGATTCTGGTTAAGAGTAAGTTGAATAAAAAACTTCAATGTAAAAATTACGTTTAAACTCAAAAGGTACAAACTCTAGCTTCAAGTAGAATCAATTTTGAAGGTTGAATCAATTATGCTTTTCGAAGAATCAAACACCTCAAAATCATTTTAAAATCAATTCTACGGCTTTTGGAAAGTTAAAAGGATGAAATTGGTTTTTGACATGTATCTCATTTGAAGCTTGTTTTTGGAATTTTTCACAAATATACCATCTTTTTTCAATTAAATACTAAATTACCATTCTTTTCTTCATAAATATCAAAATACCATCTTTTCAAACAAAAAATAATATTTTAAAGTACATTCGTCAATTGATTGGGCGGAACCCTCCTATTTTATATATATTTTTATTATATTTTATTTTCCCACGGACTTTTTGAAAAAGTTGAGTTCTTTGAAATTTCCTGTGGATTTTGTTACAGAATTTCTTTCCTACGAAATTTCCTGCGAATTTAGCAACGGAATTTAATAAAAATCATATATAAAAAAATCATATATTTGAGAAATTTGCAAATTTCGTGAGAATGCTATTTCGCAAGAAATCCTGCAGGAAAATCAGCAGGTACTAGACAAATAATTAAAAAAAAGGTTGCACATCCGCCAAATGAATGAGCGGAACCTTTTCATTTTGTACTCTTCCGCCCATTGAATGGGCGGAGCGGAACATCTTTACCAATAACAATATTTTTTTGAAACCATGATATAATGGTATATATTAATGAATTGAGTGTTAGTTTGGTATTTCTTTTCCAAAAAGATGGTAGGACAGTAAAAATTTCCTGTTTTTGAGCTGCTTTGTTTTCTTTATCAAATTGTACTAACTGATTTTGACACTACTTTCATCATGCAGGGATCTATTATACAAGCCCATTGTACTATGTAAGGCAACATTAATTTCTTGAAATATGTATTAAAATTGTGAGTAGTGTTGTGAATTTTTTCTTTTTGATTCCACTTTTGCAGCTTGTGGTCACATATGCTGTTTCTGGTGTGTGTATAAGTCGATGAATTGTTTGCGCGAGTCTCAGTGTCCTACATGTAGGCATCAATACTATCACTTCCCAACAGTCTGTCAAGCGCTTCATTTTATGCTTCTTAAGATGTATCCCGTTGCTTACAATAGAAGGATCAATCAAACTCTTGGTATGTATCTGTTAGACTCTTCAGTTTTGTAACTAATATTAAATTATTAGGAGAGTTAGTGGGTAATTATTAGAATTATTATATAATTAATTAAGAGTGTTTAGGTTTAGAATAAATAGGGGAAGATATTAGAGAGATGACCATCGTGGAATTTGATAGGAAAAGGGTCATTTTGGCATTTGGGAGGTGTAGACCCTCGAAGTTCTGCAATATCATTCTGTTTTAAAAGGGAGTTTCCCTATGTCTTATTCTATATCAGTTGGTTTCTGTCAACTAACTGGTATCAGAACCTAGCTCTGATCCAGAAGAGATTTTGTCAGTGTGCTGGAAATTTTGGCATGAATATGGCTGAAGATTTGATTCCAAGATTTGATGGAAGGGAGGCCTATTGGTAGCTGATCCAAGCTGAGCAATATTTTGGGTCAAGAAGAATGACTGAAGAGATGAAGCTTGAGTGGGCTGTGGCATTTGCATTGAAAGCAGATGCTCTCGATTGGTGGATTTCTTGGAAGGAGAGTCATCCAAATACTTGTTGGTGGAATTTTGCAAAGGCCATTCTCAAGAAATTCCAACCAGAAGTTTGGGTTTGTCTACTGGAGTCTGAAAATGAAACACAGGAAATCCAAGGCAGCGATGAAATTCAAGAACCAATAGCATCTCCACCCGAAGAAATGATTGGTGGTAAAGTTGAAGACTCACAAATCCAACAATACAGTGAAAAAGAAGTTTGTAAAGTGGATATCAAATCTGATTGCGAGGGCGACAAAGTGAAAAATACAGATTCATTGATGGCCGCTAGTGAAGCAAACGTCCAGAGAAGTGACAGAGAGTCGGCTATTTCATCACAGGCAAAAGACTCACTATTGTCGGTGTTTGCTACTATTCCTAAGATAAAGTCTAGGAACAAGAAATTTCCACTGCTGGTGCCACTGTGGCCACAAAATCTGGTCACAAGAGGACTGCCATTAGCAAGAAAATTTCCTATTTCATGTACAACTCAATCTTTATTTTTCATATTATGGGATCCGGGAGGATAAATTTTTCCTATGTATTTCTTTCATCTTGAGGACAAGGTGAATCTTTAGGGGGGAGTATTGTTAGACTCTTCAGTTTTGTAACTGATATTAAATTATTAGGAGAGTTAGTGGGTAATTATTAGAATTATTATATAATTAATTAAGAGTGTTTAGGTTTAGAATAAATAGGGGAAGATATTAGAGAGATGATCATCGTGGAATTGGATAGGAAAAGGGCCATTTTGGCATTTGGGAGGTGCAGACTCTCGAAGTTCTGCAATATCATTCTGTTTTAAAAAGGAGTTTCCCTGTATCTTATTCTATATCAGTTGGTTTCTATCAGTATCTTTCTCTAACTGTATGCATAAGCATATTTAGATATAGATGTATGATTTTTGCAGCGTGGTATGTAAAATTACTAGTTAGTACCATGTGTACTCAATGGTTACCTCATATCTTTTACATACCCAATACACAATCATATACTATAATATTATCCACATCTTATGCTATAAATCATAACAGAATGGATAAATTTATGTAACTTTGTTGAGTTTAATTTCTAATGTTTTATTGATCCCGTGAACTTTATAATATGGTTTACTGTATTCTTATTATTGGTGTTTCATGCATATTGCGAGAGTTGTCCTTGTCACTTCCTCTCTTTCGCATTACGTTCTATTCATTTCTATTCAGTATACAAGTAATTATTTTATCTAAGTTTGACAAATTGATTTCTTGTTTTAGAGGAAGAGAGGAAATCAGGCTTCTATTCACCTCAATTTGATCCAGACACATGTGAGTCACAAGCTAAATTTGGTCATTCATGTAGCCCTTCTTCCTCCTCAATGATAAATCCGGTGCCCAACTCATGTGTTGTGGAAACTTTTGAATGTACAAAGCAACCAGAGTCCATTGCCCATGAAGCAGAGCCAGAAATTACTGAGACTCCGGCTGAAGAAAAAACAGTGCCTCATGATAAGCTTGACATACAACATAAAATATCAGTTGCTGATGTTATGTGTACAATGTGCAAGCAACTTCTTTTTCGTCCTGTAGTTCTGAACTGTGGTCACGGTACTCAAGACATTTAATTTTACTTTCAATTATATTATCAAAAACTATCATTATTAGAGCGCTCTTAATTGAGATTGTTTTTGCTCTACTCTCCCTTGTCTTTGCAGTATACTGTGAAACTTGTGTCTACAAGTTAGCTGATGATATGCTTAGATGTGGAGTTTGTCAAAGTCCACATCCAAGAGGATTTCCGAAAGTGTGTTTGGAGTTTAATCACTTTTTGGAGGAGCAATTTGCTGAAGAATATGCACGGAGAAGTGATGCTACTGAACTAAAGGATATCAAAGTCAAACCTGAGACCCCTTCTTGTATGTATATTTGGGTTGGCTACCTAATGTTTGATATCTTGAAGCATACATTTTATTTAATAAAATAATTAAAATATGAGTGAATATACTCCATATTTCCTATAAGATATTAGATTCTTTTATATGGTGTGTTGACCTGTTGAAGTAGTGTGAGTTAAAGCCTGATAATTGAAAGTAATGAAACCTAAGGAAGAATATTGAACTGAAGGTTTTCCCAAGAATTAGAACATATACAAGAAAATTATAACTGAAAATACAGTCTCTTCGATTGCTTATGTTGAGATCTTTGTATTCCACCCACATCTGTCCATCCATTCGAATGTCCAATCCTAAGTGTAACACTGTGTGTTAAGAGTACCATATGACATAGATAGTGCTTAATTGCTTATAATGCTTGGGTAGTCCTCCCCTTACAAGTCAATTTCGTGGTGTTTTGTTAAGCACAAAATCTAATATTGATATCAAAATTTATCTTAGATCTGTTACTGAGCCAAATATCTTTGTTATTCCACCCTCAAATGTCCATCCTTAGGCGTGAGGGTGTGTTTGAGAGAGATCCTGTTTTTCCACTCACATTGGTTCACACTTCTGATGTGATGTCCAGTCCCGAGAGTGAGTTAATGAATCGAGTCCCACATTGACTAGAGATTTACCCTATGTAGTGCTTACAAAGCTTGTGTAGTCCTCAACTTACAAGCTAGTTTTGTGGGTTATGGTAGGCTTTTTGCTCAAATTCAAATAGTTTACAACTTACCACATTTTTAGCGATTTATGGGGATCAGCCCATATTAGTTCTTGATGTGGTTATCGCTTTTTCTAACCTGTGTGGATGTTAGTTCCAATTACGTTGGGATCTTTCCGGTTAAACAAAATCAGATACCTTCAAAATGTTCATACAATTTATTTAACTCATGGCTTAGTTACAACTTAATACTTATCTACAGAGTGTGAAGAGGTGAATTTCAATTAGTTGGAATACTTCTGCTAACTTTGGAATTATACATAATAACTTGTCCCCACACTTACCATCAAACTGGTTCAAGAGAAAGGAAACACAAATATTTAGCAGAGATTAGACCTACTCTCCTATTTCATTTACAAATACAATACGCTAAAATACCCTACAATATATTCTCTGTTTTTCAAGTGGTTATCTTTTGTGCGCACTTTGATGTTTCTATGTTACTAATTTTCTACTGTTTGATATTCTTCTAGTTACTATGTATTTTCTTCTTTCTCAGGTTCATTGGATAACGGTAACAAAGGAGAAAGTACAGAATGGTGGTCTGATCCTGACTTGAAAGTTCATATTGGAGTTGGTTGTGACTTTTGCGGGGTAAGATCTTAATCCCCTCATATCCTGCATTTTGCATGTCTGTGTTAGTGATCTGCAGTGCGATAATGCGTGGCTTGTATGTGCGCAGATGTTTCCTATCATTGGAGATAGATATAGATGCACTGATTGCAAGGAGAAAATGGGTTTTGATCTTTGTAAAGATTGCTACGACACCCGCTCCAAACTTCCAGGCCGATTTAATCAACAACACACCTCAGATCATAATTTCAAGCTTGTACAACCCAATTATATTCGCAACATAATGCTGAGGCTGGTCACAGGACAGTTAGGCGACAGGTCTATCGACGCTGAGTCTTTGAGTAACATAGATTTTACAGCCGAAGCCTCTGGCTTGTTTGACGATGGTGAAGATAACCAGAATGACCCTGAAGCTACCAATTGAAAATTTGAACCCCAAAAATAATCATGATCTATATTGTTGGTGATATCGCATAGCTTCTTGCTGATTTAAGAGACACAAGTAATGCAATACTTGGAGCAAGTTTTCCAATCATTTCATAACTGAATCTTTCTCCAAATTAGTGACAGGTTATTTTACGCCTTGATGGTAAGATTCTTGAAGATATTCGGAATGTACATATTTTTAGGAGTTTGCTTGAGATGTAATAAAATCTGTATTTTATATAATAATCTGTGTAACATTACTAAATTTTAGTCTAGAAAAATCTAAATATGCAAAAATGAAACTTGAATACTCAGAATCCAAACTTGAGATTATTAGTACTTGAACTAAGATAAAATGAAAGGGACCCTTAATTTATTAATTGAAAACATTGAATTGAATGTCCAATCAGTTTCTTAAATGTCCTGTCTGGTAAGATCACATTACATATAGTTCTATTTGAATTGAATGATCTATAGTACTGATGTTGGTACAACCTTGCTTTTCTCTCTCATTTTCCAATATGTTTGTTTTCACATTCTTTTGATTGCTGGATCATATTTACTCCGTCCATTCCACTTTTTTTTTGTCGCTGTTTTTAAGTGTAACAAATTATGAGTTCAAATTCAAGTTTATGTATATTAATATTTTTTTTCATCTACTAGCTAAATTCTAAATTGTATTTAACAAAATATACTCGAGAGAATATTTGGTAAGATAAAAAATTAACTTTTAGTTTTTAACTTTTAAATTCACATTAATAAAAAAAATTTTGTTTGATAATGATTTTTTAGCACGAGTTTCTAGCTTTTTTAGCTTTCTTTTACTATGATTTTTTTTTCTTTTCTTTCAAATGTTATTTGAAATAGATTTTGAGTTTATAGATTTTAACTTGTCATTCTTTCTTCTACTTTAATAAGTTAAAATTTATTTTTATCATTTATAATTTTTATAATTAAAATAAAATAAATAATTTTTAATTGCAAGCATAGAAAAAAAATTAAGTTTTGTAAATAAAAGAAATTGTGAATATGTTACTATATCACTTCCTCTATTCTCTTAGATACTGCTTTAACTCCACATTTCTCAATTTTTTCTATGCTGATTTCACTTTTACTATATCACACTGTCGTTTTTCACTCTTATTTTACCATCTTCGGGAGAGGAGGGTGTGGGGGAGTGAGAAAAATCTCTTGGATCAATTGGAATACTATTTGTTTGAAAAAAGAAAATGGAGGTCTGAGGGTTAGGAAGTAGAAGGAGCTTAACTTAGTCTTATTTGGTAAATGGTGTTAGAGGATTTTAAATGAGTCGGGAAGTTTGTGGTATAGGGTTTTGAGTGCTCGGTATGGAGAGAAAAATGAGGAAATTATATTTTAGGGGTAGTGGTTGATCTGTTTGGTGGAGGAATTTGAAAAACATAAGGGAGAGTGTCAGTTTTTTTGATGGAGGGTGGTTGTTTGATAATATTGATTGGAGAATAGGAGATGGGTATTCTACTATGTTTTGAATAGATTATTGGTTGGATGATATGCCTTTGAAGAAGGGATTTAGTAGGTTAGGGGTGACAATAGTAGAAATGAACGAATTGGGGCGGGGAAGAAAAAAGAGACGTGGAGGTGGCATATGATATTGTTTGCTTGGGAGGAGGAGCTAGTGGGAGAGTGTATTGAGTTACTAACCTCAGTTGTCTTACATGTGAAAGTAGAAGACCGTTGGGTCTAGACTTTACATCCATTTTCTTGTTACACGGTTAATAGTGCTTATAAATATCTCCATGAAATTGGTGTCATCAACAATCAGGCTAATTTCTAATTTTAAGTTTGAAGACTATGCCGCTTAAGGTAATTATTTTTGGCTAGCGGTTGTTTCTTAATCGTATAACGACGAAGGAAAGTCTGGTTAGGCAACAAATTTTTGTTACAGATGATCATAGATGTGTGGAAAATTATGGTGTGGCTAAAGACAAATGTCGTTTATTTGTAACATGTGATTTTTTTGGTGTACTGTGGACTATTATTCTTAATTGGTTAGGATTCTCAACTGTATCTCAGAGAAAGGTTCTAGACCATTGGTTGCAAGTTGGTGGTCTTGGTGGGTTCTAGACCATTGGAAAGGTTAACACTATTTGGTTCGATGTGGTGTGGATTATTTGGAAAGAGCGTAATAGACGTATTTTCAAAATCAAACTGAGAAGTTGCATGTATTATCTGAAAGGTTAAAGCTTCATTCATATTGGTGGCTAAAGTCAAAATATGTTTCTTTCGATTATAATTACCAGTTCCAGAGGTTAAATCCTTTATCTTGTTTATCAATTATTGTTTTGTTCGCCTTTTGCTTTTGCTATTTTTGGGTTTCTTTTTCTTTTGGTACATCTTATACTAGAGTGACTTATTTTTGATAAATTCCTCAAAGTTTAAGACTATATATATGGACTTTATATTATTTATATTATATATATACGTTATATTATATATAATTATATAAATAAATAAAACAATTTTCCTTCGATTAGTTTACTCAACTCATGTAATGAGTTGATCAAGAAATCTGTTGATTTGGAATCACAGGTTGGGTAGATGGATTTTATATATATATATATATATATATATATATATATATATATATATATATATATATATATATATATATATATATATATATATATATATATATTTCATTTTAACTTAAAAAAAATAATTAAAATATCCTTTTATTATTATACATTTATCGGCTAGGGTAATTGATAATTTATTAAACATTTAAATTAATTTATTAATTAAAAGTTATTAATTATAAATTACGAGTCATCATCTATAAACTTTCAACCAGCAGATAAAAGGTTAAGTCACGGGGCTAGCCTCTCTCTAACCCTAAAATTGATAACCACCGCTTTGTACCGTATCCAACCACCACAATCCAAAAACCCTGGTTTTTCGATCATCTCGTTCATTCCTAAACCTAATCTATCTGGCTAAACCTCATCTCGTTTTCTTTGTCTTTCCAACATACCACTAAATTACCAAAATAAACCATAAGCATCATCTTTCACCTATTGCCCTTAACTTACCATTTCAATATCAATCATCATCTCACCACTTTCAGTATAATGGAAGATGATCAAGGATAAAGTAGAGTCAACTACAGGAGGAAAAACTCACATGCAACATATAGGAGGCAAAAATGGGACACTGCTACAAGAGATTTAAGAAGGAAGTAAGGAGAAGAAAACACATCATCCTTCTTTTTTACTGAGATACCATATGATCTAGGTGCTAAGGAGATGTATGCCATCTTTACAGATTTTGGGGACATCGTCGAAGTGGTCATTCATCCAAAGAAGGATAAGAGAGGAAATCACTATGTATCTTTTAGATTCAGAAACGTGATAGACGACAGGGTGATGACAATAAAGCTAGACAACATTAGTATCAGGAAGAAGAAGATTTATGCCAATATACATATGTTTCAGAAAGGAAAAATGGTGGCTAAGAATGAAGAGGGGAGAAACTGGAATCCTCAAAGAGAGTGGAGGACTAAAGAGGATGTAATAGGTGAACATACAGGGTGGAACACTAGCAAGATCAACATCGACAAGAAACATATGAATAACCAAGGAAGAGAAGCAGGGAGATCCTATGCCCAGTTGGTTGGGAATAAAAAAAACATATAGGTTTCCAAGGAAAGTCCAACAACGGCAGGCATAACACGTTCAGAAAGGAACAAAAACCATCATGTTCTCATTTGTCCTTCTATATAGAAGAAAATTATCTAGACATATTCCGTAAAGCTTTCATTGGAATAATATCAAACTCAGGATCATCATATAATATTCAAGAGCAGTTTCATATGGAGGGCATGTTTTCAGTAAATATAACTCCTCTAGGGGCTAACTTATATTTATTGGAGGAGTCTAAAGTTGGTGAAATCAAGACTCTTGTGGAAGAAGCTTCAAAGTGGATTGGGCAGTGTTTTGATGAAGTAAAAGAATGGACATCAGATGCAGTTAACAATGATAGACTACATGGGTCAGATGTTATGGGGTACCATGTCATGTATGGTCTCCAGTTTTTTTATAATAAATTCATAATAAAACCAGTGGAGGAGTACATCTGTTCAGATGATGAAAAAAGGACACAAACCATGATAGATGTCACATGGATCTTAGTTAGATCAAAGTACATTATGGTTCTAAATGAGTGTTTTAATGTGGAAATCAATAATAATTATTTATAATCTAGGTTATGGAAGATGTCATGTGCCAAAGTACATTATCATTCTGAAGATAGTAGAGGCAATGGGAGATAAAGAAGACACATAGCCGTCTACACAAGATTTTGATAAGGATGGTGGCACATGGGATTGGGAACATAATCAAGTAGAGAGTGAGTGGGAATTGGAAGTAAGTGATAACTGTAGTCAGAAAAGCCTGGATCTGACCAGATAACAGCTGACATTCAAGAGATATTCCCCAACGACAATCAGGGATTCAACCCCCCAAAATTTTCTCAGCGGTAGTCAGGGATTTATTTTCCTGGACAAAAACATACATCTCACATTCATACATCATAGCATGTACATACCATATGCATTTAACATAATACCACATCTGGTGAACATCATGCAGGCATCTGCATTTTACTAACTCTTTTTCTCACAGATAAAACATCAAGTTCCAGTATAAATCAACAAGAGATTTGTGCTGATACTTCTTCCAGTATTTACCAACATTCCTACAAATGGAATCTATAAGCCCATTCACTATCCATATTCGAGTGCAAATTTCTGGGCACTCTAGTGTTCAATCATCTTTCACCTTCAAGTCACGAATGGCGGATCCGCCAATCTAACTCTTCAGGTTTAAGAAGATTGAACAGGGGCAGATGTTGTACCCCAAAATTTTCCCTCTCATTTATTAAGTAATCTCTCACAAGATCTCTCTTGGTTCAAGAATGCATTAGGGTTGATCAGCTTAAGACACCTCCTTAAGCACCGATGGT